AGCCTCGGCGTCGGTGTGGGCTGGGCGACTGCAACGGAATATCAGTATACCACCCTCACACAAGAGTATGACCGTGATGCGTACGACGCTCCAGCTCGAACTCGAGCTTCGTAATCGGAGTGATCGGACGGACAAGGTCGCTGTGCGACTTGGACTTCTCCCGCCGCTTCGAAGGCGACGTGTCGATCTCCAAGCTCGGCCGCGCATTGCGCTTCATCTCAGGCGAGCGCGTCACCACCGTCGCCCTTCGGCGCTTCCTCGACGGTGTCTCCGGGACCGCAAGTGCACCTCCGCACGTGTTCGCTCCTTCGGCCTCGGCCTCTACAGGGTTATAGGACCGCGACTTCTCGTGCTCCTCCTCGGGCTCAGGCTCGTGCGAGACGCGACTCGGCAGCTCCGACGGGATCGTCGGCAGGCTATGCTCCGCAAAGTTCATCGTATTCAAGAACGACGGGCTGGGGAGCGGCGACCCCATCATCGACGAGGACATGGTGCCGCTGCGGTCGTACGTGCTCGGCTCATATCCCTCCAGGAAGATCTGGTTGGCGGGCAGGATCCTGCGCGGAACGCGGTTTCCGCGCCCCGAGCGATTCGCGTTGGTGCAGGTGTTGGTGTAGGACGAGCGCCGGGAGACGGGTGCGAGCGGGAGGGGCGGGATGGGCGCCGAGCTCGTGGAGGCGGCAAAGTTCTGGCGCGCCTCGTCGACGACCTCTGCAACGCCGGTCAGTCCGGCGCACCGATATAGGCGAGAGGAGACTCACTCTCGACGTTCTGGATCCAGATCGTCATCCGGTCGAGCTTGTTCTCCGCCGCAACCTGCTCGTTCCGTACTGCATGGCGCATAGTCGGGAAGGACGATTTAGCTACCCGCGAAGAAGTACAACAGCTGTAAGCCACCGCCGTCTGCGAGCGCGAGATCCGGCATCGTGGCAGGAGAGAGATGTACTCACCCTTGGAAACGAGCTTGTCGTCCTCCCAGGACGCGCGCGCGCTGAGGCTCATGCGCGAGTCATCTTCCTCGTCTGCGTTGTCCGAAGCGAGCGTCAGAGCGGGGGTGGACCGGCCGAGCAACTGCGTCGAGGACTTGTACAGGCGCACGGCCCCGCCTGGACGGAAGCGTCTTCTTCAGCAGTCTTCCGAGCATTCACAAGATGAACGACATACCGATTGACATACGAAGACTCTGCTTCAGGGCGCTGATTCCAGACTCGTTCGCGCCCGCATTAGGGCTCATCTCTGTCGGAGACTCGACCATTTGCGACGGCTCTGCATGCAGATCATGTCAGCGCGTATAATTTCCCGCAGGGAGGACGCCTACGCACCTTCGAACAGCGGGCTGAGCGGCGAGATTGGCATCGCGCTCGCCGTAGGTGACAGCGGCGGACCGACACTGATCTTCGGGAGGAAGAACACCGGTTCACGCTCGCGCTCTCTCTCCCTCTCCCGGGACGTCGACCTCTCCCTTTCGCGAGTCTCGCGCTCCACACTAGCCTGCCTTGCCTGCTCCCTCTCGATCGCAAACTCGCGTTCGTGCTCCCTCTCCTCTCGCTCTCGCTCCCTCTCCTCCTCCGCCTCGCGCATCCGCTCCTTCACGCGCTCCATCTCCTTCAGCCGCTCACGTTCACGCTCCCACTCCTTCATGCGGTTCCTCACCGAATCCCGGCTCGTATCCGCCACCACCTTCGCGCTCTCCCTGCTCGTGTCCGCCTTAACATCCCTTGCGCTCCTGTCGCTCTTCAAGCCTTTGTTGTGGCTGTAATCGCCGCGCTTCCCTATCGCAGGCGCGCCAAGGCCGGGCGAGACGTTCTCGTCCTGCTTCCGCACGCTCGTCACGTCGCGCAATATCTGGCTGCGGCGCTTGTCCTTCCCGCTCGCCTCCCTGCCATGAGCGCTGGTGCCGAGATACTGCTTCTCGCGGTGCACGTTCTCCTTCGACGCCTGCGCCTGCACCAGGGTTGGTGCAAGCGCCAGCGCCGCCGCCTCGTGCAAGAGCGCAGGCGACGTCGGCGGGGTGGGTGCACGCGGGCCGAGCGGCTTTCGCGTCGTCCGTCCCGTCTTCTGGGCGGCTTGCGGGGCATTCTCCTTGGCTGCAGCGGCAGACGCGGAGAGTGTGGGCGTGGGTGCGGGAGGGGAGTGTTTGACGGGGGAGAGGGCGGAGAAGACGGAGGGGACAGCGTGCTGCCGTTTGGTCTGTGTAACGCCGCGCGCAGACGCGGATTCTGACCAGAAAGGTCGCGCGTCAGTCTCGTGCGATGAAGTGGAAAGCCGAAATGAGCATGCGTACCGTCAGGCACCTGAAGCTTAGGCTGCGATTGAGAGCGCGTATGGCCGGAGCGCGCCGCAGCCGCGGCAGGCGCACGGGTGTTGTTCTCCTTCCCGGACACGGTTGCGAACTTGACCTTGCTGTCCCTATCATTCTCATTGTCTGCCTTCTCCTTCGTGGGCTGGTTGCCCTTGCCCTTGTCGCGGTTCTTGTCGTTGTTCTTGTCTTTGTTGGCACGCGAGGCCCATGGCGGTATGACATCGAGCAGCTTCGAGACGCCTTCATCCAGCACGAGGGACGGTGAACGCGAATGCGACACGCTCGCCGATTTCCCTGTCCACCCCACGTCAGTATCTCGTACGCACCCACATAGCAGAAACAACAACACTCACGATGGCTCGACGCGACACTCTCCGCGCCCGCGGTCCAATACGGGTCTGCCATCGCCTCGTTCGCCGTGCACCGCAGATCCGCATTTGGCAAAATCATCCTCCTCAGGAGCCTCTCCGCTCCTTTGGACATGCGCCACGAGCCGACCCACTTGCCACGGAGGGTGCGCGCCCAGTAGCGCTCGAGGTCGTCCTTGGACGCGAATGTCTCACCGTCCGAGTGCTCGAACGGCGTGCGGCCGACGAGGATCTCGAAGAAGGTCACGCCGAGCGACCAGACGTCCGATTTGCGCGTGTCGTGCGGGAGGCCGCGGGCGCGTTCGGGAGAGAGGTACTGTGAAGTCGAATCGCGCATATAAGTGAGTCGAATGTGCGGAATGTCAGCATTTTGGATCTAAATTGGGCAGGAAATGTGCCGACCTCTGGCGTGCCGTATGACAGGTTGCTGTGGAACGCGTCTGGCGCATCGACGTCATATCGCTCAGCAAACCCAAAGTCGACGAGGACTGGCACGTCCTCGTCAGAGAGCAGAATATTTGCAGGCCTATCCATACATCAGTGTCATGCGTTCGTGTATGCGGCACACGAATGCGGCCTACTTGATGTCGTTGTGCACGACGCCGCGCTTATGCAGGAACTCGACGCCTGACAGGAGCGAGCGGAACCATTCCTTGGCGTGCGGCTCGGAGACCTCGACGGTGATGAGACGGGGGTGATACGCCCTGTGCCGAACAAGCGGGTCAGACGGGCTTCTAGCTGATGCAAGGCGAGATGGAACGAAAGGCCAACGACGGACACGTTACTTACATGGTGATGAGTGCGTAGGAAGGCGTGATGATGAAGGAGTAGAAGGGGATGATGGACGGGTGCGGTTCGTGTTTGAGGGAGCGGACGACTTTCATTTCGTTCCATCTGTGCGCGGGCGAAGCGTGTCGTCCGTCAGCTACTGTACATACTTATATGCGCATATATAGAGGAAAGACAGCGTACAGTGACCTGACTCGTGCGGCTGTGGTGGACGTCTTTGACCTGTGGACGAGCTTGACGGCGATCTTGCTCTCGCGTAGCTGCTCGCCGGATGACGACTTTGGGCGACATAGCCAGACGCTGCCCCAGTTACCGAAGCCAATCTGCGAGGAGGAGAACGACGCGTTCAGCTGGGGTGCGCCTCAAACACCTACCGGGCGAGAAGTACTGACTTCCTCGATGAACTGGAGTCTGTCGGCTAGAACCTGGTCAGAGATGGAGAAGATGTCGGTCGCCTCCTGGGGCGGTTGTGGTGGAGGGATCATGAGGAACGGCGGCGGGAGGATAGAACTACAGGACGGAGAAGGGAGAAGAGACAGGCGGGGTCCTCTTGTGGGACTGGGGGAGGAGGACGAGGGTAGACGAGCATCAGTCGCGTTGAACGGCTCGGTTAGGATGCGAGTCGAACATGGGCGTGAGAAGCGAAGCTCGCCTAACACGCACCAGGCGCGCGGCGCGTCGCGTCGACGCGTCCCCCCAGGCACAGCTCACGCCACCGTGTCGTCGCCTGCCATTTCCAGCAGAACCGCCCAAACAAGGTCTCGCTCTACCCTGTCCTCAGCTCGGGTGTGTCGACAGACAGGTCGTCCAACGGATACGCTCGGGGACAGACTGTCGGAGAGGTGCTGCACAAAGCCTGATGCGAGGGAGTGACGGACGTCGCAGCAGGATCGGCCCCGATCCGTTCACACTTCGGAACCGAGCTACAGCACAGAAGACCTGCCGTGTCTCTTTGTAGGCAGTCGGAACGCTCCTCCAGGCTCGCAGACTGCCCAGCAAGTTCTGATTGCACTCGCCGTTGTGTCTGTGAATTGGCTTGTCTCTGCTCTGTGTTCACTGTCGGTCTCACCCGTCACAAGTCAAAGAGCATGTCTCATTCCTCTCTCTATCTCGTTCGGCATACGAATCCGAGACAGAACCAGACACCCACGGACGGTCTGCACACATCGTCGCGTAGTGTATATTGCGTGCATGGATCCGATTTCGGCGAGTCGCCTCAAACTCAGTACTGCAGGACCACCGCAGTTGCACACCGATGTTTTCCCGAGCCTCCCACCTACCCCCCCCCCCCCCCCCTCTCGGTGAGGATACTTCTGTTGCCAATGATCTTCTTGAACGACATGCAGCTATGTGGACGGCTTTCTTGAGCGTTCCGCGACATATGCGAGGGGTCTAGGTGTCCATCACCCAGACCCTCCTGCGCACACACCAGGGAGGTGAGCCTAGAACTATACTGCACGCGCCGGCACTGCGGACGTCTTCCGGGACCTGCGAAGTTCGCAAGGTCGAACAGGGAGAAAGCAAAAAGAAAAAAAGCTATTAGCCCACCGCGGGGGTCGAACCCGCAGCCTTGAGATTTACCCGCCGTCCTAGAGGCCGTAAAAGTCTCACGCTCTATCCGATTGAGCTAGGCGGGCTTGCTGTACTTCTTCCGTAGAGCAACAAGTGCCGACCCGCATTGACCCCCCATAACCGGCCAAAATGAACCACAGGTCCACAACGTCATCGAATGACGCCGACCGGGCAGACCGATCCCGTCCGAACGAGCGCTGCCGCCCCCGCGCCATTCCCTCCCAGGCCCGACCTCTCCCCCTTCAGACTGTTCTTCTCGAGCTACTCACCGTCTTCTTCACTGTTTGACGATGGCCTCTCGTGCTTTCTCCCGCCGCATCCTCGCCCAGTCCCTTCGCGCACGCGCTGCCGCCCCCCGCCCCGCCCCCGCGGCGGGCAGGCGGTTCGCCAGCTCAGATGTCGCGCACGGCGCGAAGCAGAGTAGCGACATGCCCTGGATCGTACGCCCTTCCCAGCATCGAAAAGATGAACAGAACTGACCATTTTGGACGTGTAGATTGGCTCTGCGCTCGTCTTCGGCCCTCTGGTATGTTGTACGCGCCTGCGCGCCCTGATGACGTCGCACGCGACCCCGGCGTACTGACCGCCTTGCCTTGTCATGGCGCATTTTTCATCCTATAGGGCGTGTACCTCCTCACATCCTCAGGAAAGCAAAAGGGCCACCATGCCGCCGACGTGCACCACGCCAAGGCTGGCAAGGCCCACTCCCCGTCCGAGCCGCTCATCCAGGAGGGCACTCTGTCCACCTCAGGCGAGACCTCCGCCCCCGCTGAGGTACGCATAGTCCTTCACCGTACCAATCGCCAGAGTCAGAACTCATGCACATCTCGTAGGAGTCGCCGAAGGACGAGTTCGTCCAGGAGGGAGTGAGTGCTCTCGCACGGTCTAGGCCCCCCGCCTAGGTCTCGCCCTGACATACGCTGACGTTGACTGTGGTCCTGCCCTCCCGCCGCAGCCCGAGTCCCAGTCCCAGTCCGCGTCTGAGTCTGACGACGGCAAGGTCCATGGCGCTCCCGCCATGACCGACTCCGAGGGCAACACCGCGTCCGCCGAGGAGATCGACGCGTCCATGAAGCAGGCGTTCGTGCGTACCCCTTCTCCCTCTCCGATCACGCGTATTCGTCATGTTTATGCTGACCGTGAACCCCGCGGGGCACGATGAGTAGAAGGCGAACATGCCTGAGGACGCCATGCGCGCCGAAGCAGAAGACTCGAAGTACGCCGAGGGCGCGCCCGGCCAGACCGCGGAGGCGGAGGGCAAGCCCGACCAGGAGGAGCACCCCGGCCGCCCGCACACCGGCACCCTCCAGAGCGACGACGATAGCGGCCCGACGAACATGGGCGACGCGCGCGCCAAGGCGACAGTGAGTGGTGCCTATCCAATGCATCTTGGATGAGCGGGTGGCTGACAGGTGTGAACGTGCAGTCGAAGGAGGCACCCAAGCAGGCTTCACAGGACTGAGCTTGTGCTAAATGGACTTGGTGCATGTATCTAACTGTTCGCCAGAAAATGGACGTTGGATTTGCTTTCGCTCGCGCGCAGAGCCATCAAGGCTTCGATACTCGCGCGGGGCACATGGCCAGTACGTATATGTGCATGGCATTGCAGAATGGGTATATGCAGCATACATGGGACTGGTCACAAACTCTCAAGCGGCCACAGCAGCTGCGGGTGCAGCCTCGCTAGTAGCGGCAGGGTCAGCACTTGCAGCGGGGGGGACCGCGTCCTCCTTCAAGTACTTCTCAAACCAGCCCACGACCTGCTCCACCGCGTCGTCCCTCGCCTTCTTCTGCTTTTCGTCCTTCAGATCCGCCCTCGTCGTCCACCCATGCTGCACGCCCTCATACACCCTCACCTCCACATCCTCCAACCCTTTTCCTCTCAAGATCTTCTCCGTCTCCTCCGCGCGCGTCCGGTCGTACCCCTTGTCGTCCGCCGCGACCGCCAGGCTGAACGGCCCCTTTACGCCCTCGAGTTCCGCGGGGAACTTCACGAGCGACGGGTGCGCCGCCACGCTCGCGTCGAACCGCGCGTTCTGCGAGATCGCGAAGCGCCCGCCCCAGCAGAACCCGACGAACCCGATCTTCGCGTCCGGGCGGGAGGCACGGAGGGCGGAGGTCACCGCGGCGATGGTGGACACTTGGCGGGGGAGGTTGCGCAGGACGAAGGGGACGAGGAGGAAGAGCGAGGCGGGCGCGACGACGAAGCGCGTGAAGAGCGATTTGTGCGTGTTCGCGGGGTCGTGCGCTTCCAGGCTCCATGTCGGGACTTGCCAGCCTGCGCGCGGACGATTCCCGTCCCCTTAGCAGAGAATTCTCTTTTGTTTACGGGGAGACGTACCGCCAAAAAGGTCGGGCACGACGACCCTGAACCCGCGCGCGGCGTACTCGTCCGCAAGGAGGCGCGTGTTCACGAACTTCCACCCAAAAACGTCCGTCCCGATCACGATGATGCGTTTGGATGCCTCATCGCCGACGACGTACGCGTCGATGCCCCCGACCTTTGTCTCTGTGCCCCTGGGCGTGCCGGAATGCAGCGCGCCGCTGACGCACTCGGGGCAGGACATGCTTTGCGTCGACGAGTGAGGCGCGCAGTACTGGGCGAGAGCCGGAAGGGGAGCGCTCTGGCAGCCGTGCCAAGACCAAGCACAAGGGGGACCAAGTGTCGCTGGCTGGCGACTAAATAGCTATCGGAGATAGGAGTGGGACTTGGCTCGCGTCGTGGACACGTCGGCCTACTATCCGTGGGTTACTCACCGATGCTGACTATTGTGGGTAGCGCGAATCCCTTACGAGGACGACGAGCAGCGGGCACACCGTATGTGAAGGGACAGTACTGGCAAGAAGTCTCATGGCAGAAGTGTTCGGGCACCGTTGCATCCCCAGGTATCAGGGTCGTCCCCGTGCCAGGGTACATGGCTCAGGAGTCTGTAGCACTCTGGAATACCAGACGGGGCTCTACCCCATCGCGCCTTCGTATACGTACACAGTACAAGTGAAGCGGGGGCCATCATGAGCGCGATGAAAGAGTGCAAAACAAGCGAACACCGACACTAGCACCTATAGGATGGCGTCCTGAGATCGCTGAAACCGCAACTCGCATACATGCGCACATGCAACTAGCGTCCGGCATGTTTGCGCTGCACACGCCGAACGTCTGCTTGGAAAAAGTGATCACTCTGCCTTCGGCTTCGTCTCCCCTGGAACAAGGCCCGCCTTGACTGCCGCCACGTAGTGTTGCCGTTTCTCGAGGTCTTACGGGGAGCAGCAGGAAGTGCGTTAGACAGATCCTCTCACCGTTGCATGTAGGAAGTTACCGTGTGCCCACATCGCCGCCCCGATGCGGTTTGAGATCGAGAAGATGAGCCCGACAAGAGGGAGCCGTTCTACGAGCGCCGCAGCAAAGCCGAAGGCTGCGTTAAGGGAAGGAGGTTATCAAGTCAGCGGTGAACAGCGTAGGGAGTGCTGGACAGCGCACATCGATAGTCCCATTTCCGCTCCTCGATGAACGTCGAGACTTGCTCAGGCGTCATGCCCTTCGCTTTGAAATACTACGGTGATGTAACTTAGTCCAATCGGTCCCTGGTGCAGGTTGACACACTCACGGGCTGGTGGAGGTATCGCGCTGTCCCCAACGCACGGAACCATGCCGCGATGAACATACCCGCGAACGGCACGAAGTGCAGCGGGATCATCAATACTAGTGTCAAATTGCGATCAGAATCGCTTCTCCGCATTATTGAGCCTTATTAGGACCACTCACGCCTGCTAACTATCCTACCCACCGACCCGCTCATAAATGCACCGAGGCCCCAGCCCGAGCTCTTGACGCGCGGAGGGTTATCCCATTCCTCGACGTACGGGCGCCACCAATCCGCGCCTTTGCCTCGCGAGGCGATTGTCTGGTCATACGCGCGCTCACGCGCAATGCGGATGTTGCGGGAGAGGAAGTAATAGATGACCGCAGAGACTTGGCTAGAGAGAAAAAAGAGGGTCGCGTCTATATGGCGTAAGCACACATGGGCTAGTCAAGAAGGGCAGCGGGGCGACATACATGTTGGGAGATCGAAGGGCATGGGTATGCCGAAGATGGAGTCCCGCGAGAGACCAGTCACGCTGGGGGACCTGAAAGCAGCACATATGATCTGAGAGACGACACTGTACCGGTACGAAAAGGCTTACTTGATGAGGAAGATTTCGACGAACTTCCGCTGTATCTTGAAGGTCCCAACAGCCTACACGTAGCCAATCTGCATGAGCTATCCGCACACACGCAATTGCAAGGATAGTACATGCTCGACTCACCCATACGATGGCGACTGCAGCTCCCCTGACGAAGCCATGCTTGCACTTCTGCCACGCAGGCACATAGAGGTTCCTGTCCGTCACCAACCTATAGAACCCGACGACCACATAAGATGGAGGAAACTGCAGCCTAGACACCGCACGTCGCAGGTTCTCGGGTACGTCTTCGGTGTACGGAGGGGGAGGGTCCCCGATATATGCGCCTGGCACAGCTGGTGCAACGGCCTTCTCCTCGGCGGGTACGACAGACATCTTGCAACTCACGATAGGGGTCTTTCTAGCAACTGTACGCCTTTATGGAGCCAAGTGCACCAGCCTGGGCGTGGAAGGTAAGTTGCAACGCTTAAGCAGGTTTGCAGGACGGGGACCGCAGCCGCAGCGTCATAGCCAACCTGCAGAGCGCCCGTCCAGAGGCTGTACTTAATACCAAACGGCACTACGCACATGCGGCCCGTTCCTCGCCATACAATCTTGAATCCAGATTGCAGAGTCCCGTCTGGCCCAGGCGTATTACTAGCTCTTAGAGTCTCATAGACACCGCAGAAAATGGATCCATCCGAGATCATGATATTGATATGCATTTGTACAACTCTACAACACTTCTTCAGCTCGAGCGGGCACAGCGAGTTTGGACGTTTATGAGGTGACTAGATGCCGCCACCAGCCGGCAGCCATCCGAAGCGCGGTCTCGTCTCGTCAATAAACAACAAGAGCGGGAAGTCGACGTCGCGTGAGTGAGTGTAGCGGGGAATCAGTGGCC